TTCGCAGGGGTGGCGCCCCGGTAGGGCGCGATTTGTTTTTCTCTATATACGGTATATAAAAATAAAAGTCTATTTTGATTTCCCACTGTTCATCCGATAGCCATGAGACTTTGGGGAGTTCATTATACCACTCTAGGGAAGGGTTCTGTAAAAAAATAATTTTTACTTTCGCAAGGGCGGCGCCAGTGGAGGGTCCGATTTTTCTCCATTTACGGTATATAAAAATAAAAGTCTATTTTGATTTCACATTGTTTATCCGATAGGCATGAAAGTTTGGGTAGTTGATTAGAACACTCAAAGGAAGGGTTCTGTACAAAAATCATTTTTATTTTCGCAAGGGCGGCGCCACGGGAGGGTGCGATTTTTCTCTATGTACAGTATATAAAAATAATAAAAGTGAATTGCCGTGACACCGTTCTGACACACGATCTGCCATGAAACTTTAGAAAGTTGTTGAGAATATTCATGGGGAGATTTCTGCGAAAAAAATATTTCAAATTCGCAGGGGTGGTGCCCCGACACGACGCGATTTTTTTCTATATACGGTATATAAAAATAAAAGTCGATTTTGGTTTGGCATCGTTAATCCGATAGCCATGAGACTTTGGGGAATTCATTATACCACTCTACGGAAGGGTTCTGTAAACAATAATTTATAATTTCGCAAGGGCGGCGCCACGGGAGTGTGCGATTTTTCTCTATATACGGTTTATAAAATAAGTCGATTTTGGTGTGACACCGTTATCCGATAGCCATGAGACTTTGGGGGAGTTGATTAGAACAATTCAGGGAAGGGTTCTGTAAAAAAAGACCTTTATTAATTTCGCAAGGGCGTCGCCACGGGCGGCTGCGATTTTTCTCTATATACGGTTTATAAAATTTCGTTTTTTTTTTCGTTTTCACACCGTTCATCTGTGTACCAAGAAACATTGGGGAGATGATTAGATCACTCAATGGTAGGGTTCTGTGAAAAATATTGTTTAATATTGCAAGGGCGGCGCACCACCGGAGGGGGGGGGGCGATTTTGTTTCTCTATATACGGTATATAAAAAATAAAACTCGGATGCGGTTCATCCGAGTACCATGAAACTTTAGGAAGTAGATGAGAATACTCCCGAGAATATTTCTGCGAAAAAGAAAACTAAAGTTTCTTACGGGCGGCGCCATATAGGGTACAACTTTCGTCAATACACGGTTTGGTGCCCAGAGTTTTAGAGCGACTAAGATGGCACTTGGCATCCGTTAATCGAGCGTCTTTTATAGCGAGTAGTAAGGGGTACTACTATATTCAGCGGTAAAACTACAACAGGCTTCTAAAAATAACTTTGTAACGCGAGGAAATCCTGTACAGTTTCGTCACCTTGCGAAAGAAGAAAAAATAACTGTTTGAATATGAGGAACCTACTGTAGAGTTTCGTCACTTTGCGAATGATGCAATAAGCATCTATTATTAGACGATCCAGGCCGAAATTGAGACCGAGCATCTAATAATAGACCATTAGTAACGCTAGCATATTGCATCAGTCGAACTGATGTTTAAAACACGTCAAATAATTTTTGTATGTGTTAAAGAAAAAAATCCTGTTCATTTGTGTCACTTTAGCGAATGACGAAATCTGCATCATTGTATGCTATTTGGCACGCTGGGTTATCCTATGAGCACGATGGCGCCTGTTAGTTTTAAGGAGCTAGGGGCCTTACGCTGCGCCTCTGCGGTAGTGTAATTGGGGGGTGGGGGGGGCTCCTGAGAGCGCCACTCTACGTCCCTGACATATGGGTGGTCACTGAAGTGTGTTCTACCTAATTATTTCGGTGAGTGATTAATATACACTCAAGATTTTCATGCGGTAGTGTAGGAAAACCCGTGTCCCGATAATTATTATCCAAACGCAGGCAATGTTGACATTTAAATAACACAGTTTTAGAAAACAAGGTGATGCGTCTAAGAACATATGATTGGTAAAGCATTGGTGATATCCTTCTAATATATTTCGTCAGACTTTATTCTATCCCCGCGGCAACGCGCGGGGGACGGGTACGCTAGTTTAAAATAATTAAGGCCTGAAATAGATTCTAGATGTAGAATTTACATTTAGTCTAGATCTAGAATTTGCGTAAAGTCTAGTGACCTAGATCTAGATCTTGATTAATAACTTGTTCTTCTTTCGACAGCTGATCTGTAGATCTATAGAAATTTAGTGTAAAACTAAATGAAAAAGACAGTTGAAAATTGATATAAGTTTTGGAACGTAATAAATATAGCAAACGGACGTATTGTTAAAGTTATAGCCGACAGAAAATTAGCTTTAGAATGCGTTTAACATTGAAATGGGAACACAATCTTCTTCGAAAGAAGCCGCCATTATTGATGTAAAAAGTAAACAAATCATGTGACGTCACTATTCAGTCAAAGTTTGAAACTCTAAAATTTAATGTAGTTAATCTACCAATGAATAAACCAATTAATTAATTAATGTCTTTAAATAAATTAGTGATTAACAGTCTGTCTGAAAACAAAAATTGTTCTCTACCTACATACTATTTTACAGCTCTCCACATAGCGCAGATTCTCTCCAGTAGTAAATCAGACAAACAAAAAAAAAATTCAAACATGTAAACAAAGTTGAGTTTTAGTAGTATACTAGACTACCCGTCATCCCTTGGATAACTGTGTGTTTAGGGGGTCATCCATAAAAAAACATCACGTCTGTCACTTATCTTCACAAAAAATCAGACCCCACATTCAAAAAGATGGTTTTTTTTATCTTTAAAAACACCGATTTCGGATTATCCCTTCATATACTGACGTCACAGGTGACCTACTCAACCCTACTTCACCTGCCCAGTGTCCTGCCAAGTCTCAGACAACATGTTTTTATCGTTTAAAAAGCGATTCCGGCCGAGCATGTCTCTCTATCACTTCCTGTGCTAAGGACAAAGAAATAGATGAACTCTACTTCACATTCCCTGTATCCTGCCAAGTTCAGATAGGCAACTTTAACATTCACATCTAAAAAATAAACAAATAAAAAAAAATAGAAAAAAAAAATAACATTGACGTGTCTAGAACCCATGCCAACCGCATGAAAGCCTCTTACACTAACAACTTAGCTATTTAGATTCGTGACGTCCCTGATGTAATTTTATGGTATACTTTAATACTTATGCAACTTGAATTAGCCAATTACATAGCTAGACAAACAAAGATTTATATAAAATAATGAAGTTCTGAAATTATCTAGATCTAGATTGGTGGCACACAGCATTCAATTGCTAAACCGAACCAACGACCTACCTGGCGCCACTGCGGTAGTTAAACCGGTGGCTACCTGACACCAGGGCCAGTGGCGTAGGCACACCCATAGACACCTCGGTATATATATAAAAAGTATGAGGGAGTGCAAATCGAAAGTTTAAGGGGAAGTGCAAATCGAAAGTTTGTCCCCAGGTAAAAATTGGACCCCCCCCCCCCTTGAGACGATCTTGGCTACGCCACTGACCAGGGCTGTCGCCGAGCTGTGTGTACCTCACTATTACGAGGGTGATTAACATACACTACAGGCTTTCATACGGCACTCTCTGGGGAATCTGGTCGGTACCACAACAGCTTAAATCCAAGAAACATAGCGCTGGCATTGTTTTTATTTAAATAAATCAGTTTTATTTTTAAAACTGGCCACGCGTATAAAGCTATACGATTGGCAGCGTATTGATGAAATCCTCTTAAAATATTGCGTCAGCCCGCAACGTCGTGCTGAACAGGTACACTACTTATTTATTCATTAGATCAATTAATTTTGAAGACTACACGTAATGGAGATATTTTTTTTATTAAAATTATTAGTATACAAATTCTTCCTGCTTACACTCATTAAAAAAAGTTACAAATGACAGAAGAAAACAAATACGAACAAAATTAGGAAAGTCCAATGTTATGTCATGACTTTTCGTTTTAAAAAAAAATCACTAGCGAATAGTGTTTAAAACTAATCATATTTTTTGTCAATAATAGAAATAACAAAATAACATATCGTTAAAGTTCGTGACAATTGAAAACAGTATAGCAGAAATATTGTAGTCATTAAAAAAAATCGTAATCGAGAATTTGCACCTCCCTGAGCCCGAAAACCTCAGTTTTCCTATTTAGTCAGTTTTTATGTGAACATAATAACTTGAGTACCGTTTCAGTAATAATGACAAAATTTGAGATATATATGTATTTAAAAAAAATAATTTTGTATCAACTTTGGAACGACTTCCGGAACCGTAAGTGACTTACATTTTACCTCCAATGAAAAGCCCATAACTTGAGTTTTGTTTATGTTAGATGGACGAAATTTACTTATTAGGAATACTTTGTAAGCGGATGCATCTATCACATTTTGAACGATTTCCTTTACATTTTTGACATATAACGTGACTTAATTATTTGTTTAATTAATTTAAAAAACAAAATAGTTTCTTTTTAATGTATACATTTTGCCCTTTATTATGCACACACTGGTTTCGTTCATGCAGTTCGCAAATACTTTCTATGCTTGATTATATCGTATATAAGTTCAGTAGCAATTCTTTTTTTTCTATTGAAAGTTATATTTGGGTTGAAAGTGACATAATTCCGTAGCGGTTAGAAAGATAAAGGAAAAGTACTAGGTCTTATCTAGCGTTTTTCCTTTTAAAAAGTCTATTTATTGTACCTCCACGTCGCATTGAAGCTTATTTTAATTACATTTGAAATATTTTGAAATTCCATACATGTTGCTGAATTTCTGACCTAAAGAGTAAGAGAACTACATTATAAAGATTAAGCCGGAAACCCAAAGAGTTTTAGTCGTAATATACTAAATGAACATTTAAAAAATTCAAGCATATATATATATATATATATATATATATATATATATATATATATATATATATATATATATATATATATATATATATATATATATATATATATATATATATATATATATATGATATATGCATCATTTTCTGAGTGATATGCATTATAAATCTAACTAATTTTATCGAGTGTATGTGACCCAAATATACATTTATTGACAAAAAAAGCACCACTACAGGATTCTTGGTAATACTCTGATTGACACATTTGGTGTTTTAGTTAAATATGTCAGGCTTGATCTGCAGTGGCTAATAAGCAGAGATACTCTACTTCAGAGATTTACGATTTAAAATAAATAATTTAAAATTTTAATAGTAAACGGTGTATCTTTTAAAATAGAACTATAGTCACTTTAATTAAAGCAATGTAATTTAAATAGCTTAAAGCATATACCATAATTAGTATTATTGTTGAGATATGTGGTAGCGCTTAATGATTTCTGCTTCCATTGTTTTTAAATCATCAGCCGCTTTTTGTTCTATCTTTTTCTTTTCCTTTTCCAACTTATCTTTTAGTTTAGCGTCCATTTCTTCTTTCATTTTCGCTCTTTCTTTTTCTTTTAAATCATTTAGCTGTTTTAGTTGTTCCTCCAGTTCTTTTTGTTTTTCTATCATTTCCTGTTCAAGTTTTAGCTTTGCTTTTCTTTTTTTCTCTTCTGCCTCCTTTTTAATTGCCTCTTCTCTGGCCTTAGATTCTTCTCTGTTTTTTACTACTGTTTTGTTAAATTCTATTGTGTCGCTAAGATTCTTTCTGGCTTCTTTTACGTTTTCAAATAGTTTATGTAGCGCCCCAGTCCCTCGATCTTTTGTTTGCAAGTCTTGTATCAGTTCATCAATTTGAGGCATGAGTTTTTGTAATTTTTCGATCTTTTGAATCTCATCGCTCTTTGAATATTCTTGAATGTTTTTCATGTTGTCCAAAATAACTCTTTGCTTTATTAAAATATCTTTTTCAATCACATTTATATTTGACGTTACCATCATATGTTTACGCTTATCTTCAACCTTTTTAAAAGAATCATTTGTGTATCGTCTACCGCTATTTTGTAGCTGATCAACTGCATTAACTAGATTTTTTACTTGCTGATATTTTTCATATTCATCTTCCGTCACGTTGTTGAACAGAACTATCCTATTGTTGCAGTCATCCAATAGCGATCTAAAAAGTCCCATTTGACTGTTGCAATAAGTTTCCACAGTCATGTTATTCTTTGACGCTTCTCTTTTAAAATTATCACCGTTGCACATTACTATGATGCCATAGTTTTTCAGAAAGTCTTCGCCTAGAATTCCTTTAAATAGTTGTATTGCTTTTTGTTCCTCTTTAGTAAAACGGTTGCCAAACTTAACGACAACCAGGAAGGCGTGGTATCCTTCGGGATTGCTTATCATAGCATCTTCTAAAGCCTTAGAAAGTAATTCAATATCTTCACATTCCTCTGAGTCTGTGTCCATAACACCAGGGGCCTCAACAACTTGTATGATGCGGTCATCAAATTCGCTGAACTCATAATTAGCCCTTTTTGTAACAGAATCTGTTCTGAAATTGCTTATAAAGCATCTGATTTTCGTAAAATTGCATTTCCAGTAGCGCTTTTTCCATTTCCAGTTTTGCCTATTAGGACAAGATCAATGTGCTTAGAGATGCTCATTTCGTCCTAAAAAAAACAATATAACAAAATCAAAGCATTTACAATGGAAAGTTAATGTACATAATATAGTTATACTACTAAAAGTAACTGGCATTTACACGTAGTACCACTTCTTATATAATCGTCTATTTAATAAAAATCTTAAATCTAACTTAATATAATTAGTAATCTGTGTTTTACAAATTCTAGCTAACGGTTTTGACAAGACATACCCTTTAAATGTAAACTAAATTATATGCTATTTTGATGCACACTACTGGAATCTAAAATACCGAGTTGAATGTTGCGAACGAAGTGCCATAGCAGCACTTACATACCAGGTTAGACTACAAAAGCGAGGGCTGGTGATTAACAAGGGCCGAAAAAGGTCGCTATTTCGCGCAAATGGCGCGATAGGTTAATTGCCGTTCTCACATCGAGGGCTAAAATAAATAAAACAGTAGCAATGTAGACACAGTTTACAAAAAGTGTCATCTTTTAAATCTAATTATTGCGACTAGCCTCGATAGACCCCAATATTTCTTATACATATATATATATATATATATATATATATATATATATATATATATATATATATATATATATATATATATATATATATATATATATATATATATCAAGGCAGTGCTGCTCTATGGCTTTGAGACTTGGAGGGTTACGAAGATAAATACTGATAGGCGACAGGCATTCGTAAACAAATGCTTACGACTTATACTTAAAATAAGATGGCCAGACAAAATATCAAACAAAGACCTGTGGCAAATTTTAAAGCAACAGCCAATAGAGAAAGATATCAAGGCCCGTAAATGGGGATGGATCGGACACACATTAAGAAAAGAAAAAGAAAAGAACATCGCAAAACATGCTTTGGACTGGAATCCCCAGGGAAAAAGGAGGGTGGGCCGGCCAAGTAAGACATGGAGAAGAACGATTGAAGAAGAGGCGAAAATAACTGGGCTCACATGGGCACAGATAAAGGGGAGCAGTCCAAAACCGAGTCCGCTGGAGATGTGTGGTTGCAGCCCTTTGCTCCCCAGGGGCCACAAACGAATGATATATATATATATATATATATATATATATATATATATATATATATATATATATATATATATATATATATATATATATATATATATATATATATATATATATATATATGGTCGCAAACCGTCTAACTCAAAAAAATTCAATTTTCTGTTTTTTACATAAATCAAAAGCCAGTATGATTCCCCATAATCCCTGAAAATATTTTAGAAATCTGTAGAATGATTATCGAGATTTAATCATTTGAACAAACCGCCTATTATTTCTAGCGCTAAAAATCTCGGCGCAAAACGAACATCGCTATATTTGTCAGTACACTTTTGATCGGAAACGCAGTCGCACACTGCAATCACACGATTTTACACCACAGCAGTCAAATTACTTATTCGTAAAAATATTTGATTGATTATTTTCATCTATTCTATTATATTTTATCATTTAAAAAAATAATAAACATAGAGTATTTGTTTAAATTAGCCTATTACCAGTAGATTTTTAAGAACCAAACTGATTTGTTTACATTTTCTTTAGGCTTACACAATGCTTTGAAACTAGATCTTCATTCTAGAATCTAAATCTAGATCTAGAGATCAATTGAAACAATATTATTAGAATTACATTTCCACAAGCCTGTGCAATAAATTTAATTATTGTTAATTCACTAATAGCTTTATATTGAGGGTTTAGCTACGTGTTAAGAAAAGTTTATATGGTAGGTCACAAAATGTTTGGCGTACATGTTAAACAACATGCTTAGTTGTCTTTAGTAAATGCCTGTATGATTAATTTTGATATTAATGGCCAACTATTGAGATGGCTATTCAGTTCAATCAGTGTTTCTTCAAGGGTCGGCGTGGTCGAGTCGGTAAAGCTCATGGTTGCTAAACCGAAAAGTCTCGAGTTCGAACCCTCGGGCAGATGAGGCTCGTTAGCTGGGGACAGCCACTCTTCTAGGAGAGACAACTCCAAAATTAAACAACTGCTGCCTTGTAGTTTGTTCTTGGTTGGACAAAGGCTATGGAAGCAAATCCAAAAAGAAAAGCAGGCTGAAATCGGAGTCAATGGCCTCAATGGCGCATAACCAGTTGATACGTAACGCTTAATTGTGTTGGAGGCGTGGTCGAGTCGGCAAAAAGCTCATGGTTGATAAATTCGAACAAAGTCTATAGTTCAAACCCACTTGCAGATAAATCTCGATCCCCCTCAACACTAATAATTAAGAACGAAGAAGAAGAAGTGTTTCTTCTAGAATTTTTTCTCCGGGGGGGGGGGGGGCACTTGAAATTTTCGGAGGGGTGGGGGCGGTAGACTTTCTTCGGGGTGGGGGTGGGGGCGGACACTGTTAAAAGTATATATTTTCTATATAAATTATATAAATTTCATTTCGTTCGGGGGGGGGGGGGGGGGCGGTAAATGCCTGGAAGAAACTCCGAGTTCAATAAATAATAAGCATGCTTCAATATATAACGCATTAAAACATGAGCTTAGCAATTATCTTACTACAGTGATGAGTATTACATGTTTAGATTTCAGATCAAAATTGAAATTATTTAATCACATGATATGAAATTGTATTGACAGATGTTACCATACAGCAGAGGGAAAAGGCTAATTAAACTTAGCTAGAAATCTCAAGCTGTCAAGTAACAAAATGATGTCATTTTATTAGTCAAAAAAGATTCCAGTCTGACTGACCAAAATAAAAAATCAATTTTATTTTTTCAAGATACCAGCTTCTCTCTCAACAAGCCAGCCTCTCTCAACAGACCATTATTACTATACAACAGACCCGCCTCTCTCAAAAGACCAGCCTCTCTCAACATTCCAGCTTCTCTCAACACACCAGTCTTACCATACAACAGATCGACCTCTCTCAACAGACCAGTCTTACCATACAACAGATCAGCCTCTCTCAACTGAAAAATCTTACCATACAAGACATCAGCATCTCTCAGCAGACCAGCCTCTCTCAATTGACCAATCTTACATACAAGTCACCGGCATCTCTCAACAGACCAGCCTCTCTCAACTGACCAAAATTACCATACAAGACACCAGCATCTCTCAACAGACCAGCCTCTCTCAACTGACCAATCTTACATACATGTCACCAGCATCTATCAACAGAACAACCTCTTTCAGCTAACCAATATTACCATACAAGACACCAGCTTCTTTCAACTGACCAGATTCACTCAACTGACCAATGTTAACACACAAGACGCAAGCATCTCTCAACTGACCAATCTTACCATACAAGACACCCGTATCTTTCAACAGACCAGATTCTCTCAACTGACCAATCTTACCATACAAGATACCAGCATCTCTCAACTGAAAAATCTTACCATACAAGACACCAGCATCTCTCAACAGACCAGCCTCTCTCAACTGACCAATCTTACCATACAAGACACCAGCATCTCTAAACTGACCAATCTTACCAAACGTGACACCAATCTCACTTAACATACCAGTCGTAAAATGCAAAAGACCGAAATCTCTCAACAGACAAGTCTTACAATGAAATAGACCAGCCTCTCTCAACTGACCAATCTTACCATACAAGACACCACCCTTTTTTAACAGACCAGTCAGACATATCAAGAATTTAATGCGACAGATATTCGTGCACTACACAGTGTTTCTTCCAGACTTTTTTCTCCGGGGGGGGCACTTGAAATTTTCGGGGGGGCGGTAGACTTTCTTCGGGGGGGCGGACACTGTTAAAAGTATATATTTTCTATATAAATTATATAAATTTCGTTTCGTTCGGGGGGGCGGTAAAAATTTTTCGGGGGGGCTAAGCCCCCCCCCCCCGAAGAGATGCCTGGAAGAAACTCTGGCACTACAGTACAACCTTGATGCTACTATCTACTTCAAAGTGAATTAGCAGATAGCTGGCAATTGCTAAACTAGGGTCGCAACCTTATGACCTCATCTGTAGCCCCTGACCAGTTGTACATGGGCAGAAAAAAAGATAAAAGTTTTCATATGAGCACCTAAAAGCAAGTCATAAATACACATTTTTATAAACATGTTGCCATTTTTTATATTTCTTCGTGCGATGTTTATTTAAAGAATAAATAAACAAATAAACACAGTTTTGTTTTGTTGCATTTTGTGAAATAAGTAAACCTTTAGTCATTATTAATATAGTTAATGTGTTATGTCTCGTTCATACAATATTTGACAGCAAGGTTTATATTATTACTATTATCATTCTGCAAATGCAGCACCCACCAGTGTAAGTAAAATAAACTATGAGAAGAGAAACGTAATTAATAAAGCATAAACTTCAACAATAAACACGTATAGTGCTAAATACAGCCATAATGAGTATATAGTCGAAAGAGATAAAGCCATACTAAAACATCTCTACTAAAATTAAACTAATCCCATAAAGTAGAATAAACTCAAATAATTAAAATATGAGCCCTAAGTTATAATCGAAATATTATAAAGTGTTAATTCTAGCATAAAAAAACATAAACATAACTAAATCACGTTCATTGGACAAAACGAACGAAGGTGGCAGAGACCGAAATTCTCGGTTCAAATAAGCTAAGTCTGCGCGCGAAGAGATAGACGGTTTGCAGCGAAAGTTTTAGACCCAGCAAAACCGACTATCTTTTAAACCTGCTATAATGTTGTAAATATCAACAAAACTCATTTTAAAACGCTACAGTATAGTTGGTAGAGAGTTTCTTCGCACATATCATTAAGAAAAAAAAATTGTATTAGAGCGATCAACAATGAAATAATTAGTTTTTTGTCTCTCCTGTAAAATTTACATTTTCGGAGTTTGCGACCGAAACCATCGATATATATATATATATATATATATATATATATATATATATATATACATATATATATATATATATATATATATATATATATATATATATATAACATAGAGGAGACTTAAGTAAGTCATTGCGTACATTTGTTAA